ACTGTTGTTTTCAAGCCAAATCTCAACATAAACTTATTCTAAAGTGAAATGATGTAAAGTCTGTTAAACCTGCTTCATTCACAAGCAGTATTGTTTTGAGCAGACAGACTTCTCGATAACTGACAGCGGCAGACTCACAGTCTACAAACCAGCTTATAAAACACTCACTGTTGTTGTCTGCAGGACAGTTTGTTCTTTCTGGACTTTTTATGTGTGTGAGAAAATGGTTTTAACAGCAGTAAGTAATGTGTCCTCCACAGCCCAGTGAGGCACTCACATTGTCCTCTTCTAATTTACTGCTGCTTCCTAGTGGTCATGCAAACACACTGCGACTGTAGAGCAAAAAGGAAGAGATTCAACAAGTAAATGATTTATTTGACAGCACTTTTCAAATGAAAGTCACACAGTGTATTACATAGTGACCTTTCAGGATTATAAATTACAAAAATAAAAACCACTGATAATTACACATGATGGCAATCAAACAATGTGCGAAAATTAATATAAAATGTAATTTTTATATGGATAATTGATTTGAAAGATATTACAAATTCTTTCTCACATCCTACATTATATACATGGAGGACCTAGTACTGCTGAAGATATTTAACCTCTCTTCTCTTTTGTTTTGGGTTTTACAAGAAATTATCTGGCTTCAAAGTAAATGTTGAAACATTTGTTTATAAAATATACATAAATCATATTACATAATTATGATTACTGTCATAAAATGTAAATATGCATTTTAAATACATAATTCTGGGGGGGATATACAATATAATAAATTATTAATAATCACCTTTTTTATTCAAAGTGAAAATCATTTATATATATTTATATATATATACATCCCTTCGCTTGTAGATTTTCAGAAAGTAGAGTATGAAGGGATCTGCACAGCCAACACATGAGAGTCATAAACACAATCTATGTTCTGTACTTCATCGATCACTGGTGTGAGATCGGGGCTCTGCTGTTTTCCCTGATTGCGCGTCCAGGAAGAGAAATCAAATTCAGACCGCAGCGCCGGCAGAGAGAGGCGACACATTTCCAAGCAGACATGGTAAGAATGAATGAAATTCACTACACGGAGACCCATTTAACGGAATAATAGTTCTCTGCACAGACAATACAACACACAACAGGTCCAAACTAAGACATTTAAAACACCGGAGTCGTTTACTGACGCTGAACTGTCGTTCGTTAGCTAAGCTGTGCACTGTGAGTAAGCAAAACACTCGGGAGCTGCTAAAGCTAGCCGCACTGATGATAACTAAACCAAGCGTTTGTTCGAAGAAACCACGAGCAGCTAACTGTTCTCAGACTGCGCCATATTAAACCGTCTATATAATCAACTCAGGTTATCGTAGTGAGAAGCCGAGTGGTCACATATCACAGTCCTGTCACTAATTAGTTAGCATGCTAGGTGCTAACAGAAGTTAGCCTGCACAGACTGAGTTAGCATCACTCCAAGCAGCAGTGGCAGTGACTGGTCTTTTACTTTCGTTTTGTCAAATCACCGGTTAAAGCCAAACTACACAACCCCAGCTGCTGCTCACTGTAATGATTCACACTCTTTACTACTTGTGATTATTGATTCTTGTGATTATTGAGCACAGGACCCAGCGACCAGCACCATTTTTAACATGTGCTGGTTGGATGTTTACTCTCGGTTCTCTTGGCGAGTGGCTGTACGCAAAGACGTGATCATCTATAATTCAGACGTGGTGGTAATTTAAAACCTCAGTGCAGAACATTCTGAGATGCAAACAGGTTCAGAGCCGCGTAAAGTAAAGTCTCCGTCAGCGAGTGAGAAAACAGCCTGAAATGCAAGACAATTATGTAAGCCCAGCCCTGTGTGTTATATTACAACTGTGTGGGGTTTACTCGTCGTTTTTAAATGTTTCTCTTGTTTCTTAGTTCCGCAATCAGTACGACAACGACGTGACGGTATGGAGCCCGCAGGTAAGTTGCTGTTTGCCTTCAAGTCTTTCCAGGAGAATTAATGTGAGTGAATCAGCAGCGAATTGTTAAGTGTCTGTGTTCATATGTGCACAGGGCCGTATTCATCAGATCGAGTATGCCATGGAGGCAGTGAAGCAAGGCTCTGCGACTGTAGGACTCAAATCCAGAACTCTTGCAGTCCTGGTTGCTCTGAAGGTAAAATCAGTCGTCTTGTCTGTTCATTTCTAGTTTAAAGTTTTACCCACAGAACAGTCATTGTCTTTGGTTTTGTTTCTGATTACATCCCTGTCATATAGATGGTAGTGTAGAAATGTTTTATTAAACTTCATTTAACAAGGCAGTCAGTATTCATCTCCATGAATCATCAGACTGAACATTTCATCTTCAATTCGCTGTAAAGACATACAGTATATACTCAGTTGGTAGTTTATCAGGTACACCCAGCAAAAACAGTCTGATACAATAGTACGGTAAAGTAAAAGAGTTTAGAGACGTTTATAGCTTTTGGCGGCATCAGTTTGAGCAAGGTGTTTGTCTCATGAACAAAAACGTCCAGCTTTAATCCCCTCCCCCTCAGAAACAACAGGAATTTACCTTTATCATCAAGCTAACTAGCACAACCAGAGACCATCTGCTTCAGAAGAGTTGTATTCAGGTGTCACTTTACTCCTCACTCATTAATATTCAAATCAAGTCCCTTCTGATGTTAAGTACCACACCAGCATCCTTTTTTATTGAAAAAGCATCAAACTATGGAAGAAAGTAATGATCTCTCTATCATTTAACTGGATCTATAGAATATATTTGAACACACTGAAGACCCAAGAAAACAAGGTCGTAGATTGTACATAACTGATGCATCACGTTGTCTGTCGCTGCAGAGAGCCCAGTCTGAACTGGCCGCCCACCAGAAGAAGATCCTCCATGTTGACAACCACATCGGTATCTCCATCGCTGGACTGACTGCTGATGCCAGACTGCTCTGGTAAGTCTCAGATACTTTGATGGTCTAGATGGAGCTTTTCTATAAAGCTGAATTACAAGTATTTAATTAGGTTCACATAATATCAACACTTTCTCTTCTACAGTAACTTCATGCGTCAGGAGTGCCTGGACTCCAGATTTGTCTTCGACAGGCCCCTCCCCACATCACGTCTTGTCTCTCTTGTTGGCAGCAGTATCCTCTCTCACACCTCTTAAATATAAAGTGTAGTAAAACTCTGTAGACAGCATGTTGTAGGTTTTGTAAACTTGTAAACTTGGAACTTTATTGTGTGAATAAGTCATGTCTTTTTACCTGCATTGGAGAAGTAAAATAACAAGTGTTAATGGCAGCGGTGATCCTTGACCAAACCCCCAGAAACTCAAATCCCAACACAGAGGTATGGGAGGAGGCCCTATGGTGTCGGACTCCTCATTGCCGGCTATGATGTAAGTGTGCACACTCATTTACAGTATTATCTCCTGCAGTATTATTGCCTGTGACAAATTTAGAATGTCGGATGAAGTTTTGCTCGTAGCTCATTTTCATTTGTTGTGTCACTCAGGACATGGGACCTCACATCTTCCAGACCTGCCCATCAGCTAATTACTTTGACTGTAAAGCCATGTCAATCGGAGCACGCTCTCAGTCTGCACGCACCTACCTGGAGAGATGCATGGACAAGTTTTCCGACTGTAAGATGGAATTTCATATTCTAGTCTCACACACTTATTTCAGCTATTAACAAGAAGAGCTTTGTTGCTAAATATCAGTGTTTTTGCATCATCATGTCACCTGTGTCAGTTATTTGCATCGGGCATCTATATACTTTTTGATTATTAACTGTACTCAGTGTTTTAAAATGTGACATAATGTTGGTGAATCTAAAAAGCATGAAAATAAATGAATAGCTTAGTACCACTGGGTGTATTTGACTTGCTAATTGACATGTGGACCAACATATTTTTTCTTTGCTCTCAGGTAATCTGAATGACCTGGTCCAGCATGGTCTCCGTGCTCTCAGAGAAACTCTCCCCACTGAGCAGGACCTCACCACCAAGGTACACCAGCTCCCTACTTTTATATTTCAATTCAGCTCTAACATTTTTTTAAGAGGTATAAAGTCTCGTGTATTCTTTTTTTAATTGAAAACTTCAGTTTTTTACCTTCAAGGTAAATGAGTTACAGTTACAATGAGGTTACAGTTGATAAAATCCTGTTAAAGCTCGACCTTCCTTGGCACTGAAGATGTTGCCATGTCTCATTAAACACAATCCTGTACAAGATAATTTAGTGGTAAATTTAACACTGTGCTTTGCAGAATGTTTCCATTGGCATTGTGGGAAAGGACATGGAGTTCACCATTTATGACGATGATGATGTTGCCCCGTTCCTGGAGGGACTGGAGGAGAGGCCACAGAGAAAGGTACTGCCAAGGATTCAACAAGTCTGGCTCATATAATGGAATGTTTCATGTTGTGTTCTTCAAGGTGATGTAGGGGATTATTCTAGAAAAAGCAAGATGCATTTCCAGCTCTTTAAGGTTCTTCATTGAAACACACATTTAGCCGATGCTGTTAAAATATGTGAAGGGCTCAGGGCAATATTGTATCTGTATTGAAAATATTGGTATAAGTGTAAGAGTCAGAGGTTTGTGTGTTGATGGACATGTGTGTGTCTCAGGTCGCCCAGCCTGCAGATGAACCCGCAGCAGATGCACCTGATGAGCCAATGGAGCACTGAGGCAGCGAGCTGACCAGAGATCTCCTTCCTATAGATCTCAAACCAACCGGACTCACCTGAGTAATTTCTTAGAGGGGGAAGTTGTTGTTGAGACGTGCCACTTGCTTAACTGTTATTCCAAAATATTCTGTGCTGACATCAACCAGCATGATGTTGCTTTTGTATGAGTAAAGTCTACCATTATACAAGTAATAAACTCTTTTTTTGAATTGTGCCGCTCTGCTCCCTCATCACTCATTTCCATTTTAATACACTTTTATTTAACTTACGAAACGTGCTACAGCAGAATCCTTTTTAATTAACCAAAAATAAGCTTTGCAGGTTACAAACGGTGAGAGTCTCAAGAGTCGGCTTGTTTACAATTTTAATCTTGTGACAATCTGGAGTAAAATAACTGAAACAGAGTCTCGAGGAAATTGGAGTAACCATTTTATTCAGAGTATCTTAATCACCGATGTCTTCGGGTGCTTTTCTGAACAGTGAATAAATAAGTTTTATAAAAGTAAGAACCTTTAATAATTTCAAGCTGAAGAGGTTAAACTGATATTGGTACAGAAATGATTTGTTTATCACAAACACTGTCTAAAGGAGAGCAGGGACACTTACTGTCCAACATGCATTGTCCCATTTCCTCACATTTACTGCAGCGTATTGTCTGCTCACATTAAAGCTGTTAAAGTGAATACAAGTTCCTTGTCAGTAATTTATAAATAATATAAATATATATAGTAAATATATCCACCTGGGATGTGAAGACTGCAGGAAGTTCAGAATGAATTTTGTCCACACATGCTGACAACAGTGGGGGGAGCACAAGTCCCCTCAGTAAATTACAGTAATGTAATCGAATCAATCACTATTTTGTTTACAGATCCAGTTTTCATCAACTGCATTTATTTCTGCCCATTTGACATTTTACAGAAAACTGCCCTTTTTCCAATGAAACATCTCGAGTATATTTATACCACGTATTCTTTTTTCTCTGATAGATAAATCTGATATTGATAAAACTGCTCTGTTCACATATTTCTCCTTCACTCACTTCAACAAAAACACAACTGCTATCACCAACCGTCACATTACCGTCCATCTGATGAGAACAGATGTAAAAAAAAAAAAAGTTCTTCTCACATACACCAGACTCAAGTTCATGTGCGTCATGTTAGAGTCAGTGTGCAGCTTTCTTTGCGCTCCTTCTCTTGTTTCTCCGTCTGACCTGACTGTGAGCAGGTTCTGTCTCCACAGGCCGGGTGAGGTCCTCCATCTTCTCCTGCTCCATCATGGTCGTCATCTTCAGCGTGAGCTCCAGTTCCTTTAGGACTACAGCCAGCTCTTTCTCTGGGACGCCCAGATCAATTTGACCCCCTCGCTCCTTGTGTTGATGCAGCGTCACCCTCTCACTTTCACTCTGTAGCCTCGAGTCCTCCTCACTTCCTGCAGTTAGCTCAGATTCTCTCACAGCGTCTGTGTTCACGTCCTCTGCCTCCTCGGCCTCCACTCTGCCTGTAACGTCCTCGGCAGGCACATTTTCCAGCAAGTCACCTCCGGCAGCTTCGGTCCTGTCGGCCTCCGTCTCTGTGTGTGGACCGTGGTGATGCTCACTGTGCTGACAACAGCAGCGAGAATGTTCCCAGTACTGATGCTGAGGCTCCTCAGGATAATCTGAGGAAAATGAAGAGACATGTCAAGCTCTCCATGTTTCAAAGAGCTATTCACATTGTATTTCTTTCAGTTCTTTGTAAAAACTGAATGAATCATTGACTGATAATGTTGTTTCAAATAATGTGGAAACCTCCTCTGAGGTGTTTATGAGGATCTTTGTCATCAAGTATTTGAAAATACAGCGATGCTCAAAAGAGACAGTGGTCTCAGATTATTTGACTCGGGGTTCTGCGTACTGAGTCGAGCTTTGTGCCTTTTGTTATTCTTTATGCAACGTTATGAAATAGCAGCTGAGTGTGTGCTGTGTTCAGGTACCTTCCCAGTTGTCCTGGGCTTTCTTCTCTGGAGTCATGCCCTCCATCAGCTGTCCCTCCTGCATCACCCGAGTTATCTCCGTCAGCTGCTGCAGGAGACTCTTCTCCTGATCTGCCATCACACCCTTCACCCTGCACCACAGACAGAAAATATCACATATAGTGCCCTGCCCCAATTCCTCTCCCCTGGCCCTACCCCTAGATATGAAGTGCCCTTGTGTCTGTGTGTGAGTGTGTGCCTGTACGACAGAGTGAGTGGAGTCAGGAGGGACTGACTGACTGAATGAATGAATGCACAGCTATGAAGATAGGTCCCTGATGTGTGGCAGAGGACACACAGCTCTGACCACTAGTGACTGGATCACCCAGGGTGGATGTTAATACCAGGTCTGTACAGGGTCTCAATCATTGCTGTGGATTCATTTGCATGTGTGGAATGAGCAGATAAACTAAAGAGCTCCTGTTGGGACATAGGGAGGAGGTCGTCTGATGATAAGACTCCTCAGCACAGACACACAGGCACCTGTCAGGGCCGTCGTGGGCACTGGAAACAATGTTCTCCATCACCAGCTCTGTTTCCCTCAGTTTCTCCTGCAGCTGAGACAGTTCAAAGTCAGCTGGAGGGAGAAGACGGAAAGAGCAGGAGGTCAAAACAGAGTCTGATCTGGGAAATGAATATGTTAACTATAAGATAAGTTTGAAAACAAATCTGAGCTCAGAAAAACTACAATACAGACAAGAGTGGACTGGGAAATGATTTAGAAAATGTATAGTTTTCACAGCAGGAGTGCACAACCATTCATCTGTTTGACACTTTATAGGAATCAATATGCCAGAAAATAACCAACATTAATTTATTTCTCATTACGTTAATGCACTAAGATGATGAACGTGCACGTCAGCCGGGAAGATTTCTGAGACTGGAAATGACCTAACGCAAATGTGATATACTCACACACACAGACACACACACACACACACACACACACACACACAGAAGGAGCTACAGAAAAGCTTCTACTAATTTCCATAGAAATGTTCCCTTTAATGAGTGACAGCAAAAATGGAAAATCCCATCCAGTTAAAAAGGTTTCAAAATTCGGAGCGATCATGATTAGTACTTTAGTTTTCTGTGATGTAGATGAATGTATGACCTGTTAATTCTTTTTTTCATCACATTTTTCACGTCATTCTTCGCACAATTACATCTTAACTATTGAAACCATTTGTGCAATACTGCAGGACATTATCCCCAGGAAATAACATTACATTATATTATATTCCCTTGGCTGATGCTTTTATCCAAAAATCTAAGAAAATAAGAGCATTCAAACTAAATAAAAAAAGACCTATATGTGATCACAAACTGAAAGTGCAACTGTCAGAAACAAACATCACAGAGCTGCAGTGCAGGTGCTCAGGGCTCAATAATTAACAACTGAGATGGAAGCATGTTCTGAAAGCTGCTAAAAGAACGAGTATAACTGTTGTTGAATGTACTCACTGATCTTCCTCTTCATGTTCTCCGAGCGGACTGAAGGAAACCTGCTCTCTGACGGTTTGTTGTTGCCTTTAGATGTGATCTGACAGGGAGACAATAACAGGGTTAAAAATCTCAAAGAACCTCACAGCAAAGTGTCTGTCTGTGGTCAAACCACATCCACACTTTATGTTTCTCTGCACTGGGCGATATGACCACAAATGATATCAAAATAAAACGTTTCACACAATAACCATTACAATAAATGTCACATTTTAAGTGTAAGTTTAAAGACTGATTTCTGAAATAGATTTTTAAAGATACTTCTTTAAAATCAGAGAATTACAAACACTTGATACACAAAAAAATAGTTTACAAATCTGATGTATGTCAGTTATGTGCTATATCACCAAGCATTACCAGTGCAGAGTCTGTTCTAAACCTGCCTGTTTGTTTGTCTGGCCTGTGGAGAGGCAGTTTTCTTTCTGAAACTATAAAAGTAAAGACTGCAGGACTCAGTCCACAGAGTGGTTTTCTGTTGTATTTGTGAGTATTTGACGGTTTAACCATATTAATGTGTACCAGTATCTTTTGAGTAGGTGCATTTTTAAAATACAATCAAACTAAATTAAGAGTTTATCACTCAGCAGCTGTGTATTGTGTCTGCAGTGTTTCACCTTGAACAGTATGTAGAGGATGTAGAATAAGATCCCGAAGCCGTACACAGGGATGATCTGTCCCGCCAGGTTGGATTTGCCTCCTGTCCCCACTCCTGTTCCCTTCGCCTTGGTTAAGGCCTCTGGGTTGTGGGCTCTGGAGTAGCCGCTGCCCGCAGCCTTCTGGCCCCGGCCCTCCGGGGCCATCTGACGGTGCATCATGGGAGGTAAACGGCCTGAACCTGAAAGAAGGAGAAGACAGGTGAAGAGGAAATATGAAAATGATATCACAATAATAACAGCAGAGAGACAGAGACAGTATAAAGCAGAAGGAATGTCCAGGAATCTGCTGTATACACAGTAATAACAATAATAATCGAACAGGGTGATTAATATGGGTGTGTTCACGTCGCCAAGCCTGAGAACAAGACTATGTTTTTTTTAATACTAAACCATCACCATGTTCAACATTGTAGCTCTCTAGATGCTCATTTCTCCCTTTCAGTTGAAAAGTTAACCCTGACGCAAAATGACATCAGACTGGTTGTAATGAAATTACTGTGTGGTTTTAG